ATAAATAAATCTTAAAAAAAAATGATTCAGTAAAACTTTCAAAGGCTTATTTTATATGTAAGTAAAAAAAAACTCACAAATGTAGTCATAAGAAAACTATTTCCTTACATAAATCTTTTTGGTTACTAACACAGAAAAGGAGGGAAAAAACCTACATAGACCTGAGAATACTATTCAAATAACAGGAGTGAGGGAAAAGGGTGATTATAGAAGAGGATTAGAAAATAGACAAAAAAAGATCATTAAAAGTCTGTAACTTCAGGAACACGAAGAAACTACATGCATCAGTGTTGATGCGTGAGGCAGGGGAACTCACTCAGTGGTTAAAAGAGACCCCGAAACTCTCCTGCTGCAGCACCTCTGGATCAAGCATCTAAATTCACATTGTATTTCTGGGCTCCCTATTGGGACAGAGCTGGCATGTCAAAGCCATCATTCATGCTGACCTGACCCTCACCCTCATCATCTAAAAACATCAGTTTCATTCCTTCATCTCCTGTGATGCCAAGACCTTGGGAAAATGAAATCATTCCATCCTCACTGAGAAGCCAAGAATCTCAGCAGAGGTGACTTCAATAAACTGCTGAGGATAACTGGCATTTGCAGGCAACCAGAAGCACACTCAGAATAGCAGAGGAAAAACTCAGATTGAGTCTGGTCTAGGGTTCCTTTATATCCACCTCCACAGGAATTTGAAAAGAGCTTCCTGTAACAAGGCAGAGGTCAAACCAACTAACAAATACAACTCATTACAGTGTAATTAAAAAAGGATAACCACCCAGCTGTCAGAAATATTCACATGAACTTATAAATAAAAAGGTGTGTTTTGTTTTTAATTAACTTATTGCTCCTTTAACAGACTCCTAATGTATAAACAAAGTAGTCTGATCTATGACCTCTATTCCCAGGTGAGGTGTGAAGTTTTATTTACTAACTACTCATTCATTTACTTTTTTTTTTTTTTAAGATTTTTTTATTTGTGCATACAGAACTGGGGTACAGGCCAGAGGCTCAGGGACAGCGAGAGGCTTCACCAGAGACAGAGTGGGGAGCAGGACAGGCAGATCTATGAAGTACACTGCTGAGGGGAGCAGCGGGCGGGTCAGGAGAGGTCTGCCACGCCATGTGGTCTCCTCCAGGGCGGGCGGGAATTGAACTCATGCAGAAGTGGCTTTAGCTTCTTAGTGCAGTGCTTTAACCCGTTGCGCCACCAGGGAGGGCCCTCATTCATTTACTTTTAAATCTGCCCATCACTTACACATCTCTATAACTCTTGGGTTTTTAATGCCCCACGTTTGCAAACACTTTTAATGCCCCATGTTTGCACACGCTTCACTCACTCTCCACCCAACCTCCATGCCACTCTCCTATCCCCCTACTCTTTCCTTAACGCTCCTGTCCCCACCCCCCCCCCATTCCCACTGGGAACAATTATGTTTTCACTAAGTCTAAGATCTGTTTTTGCTGACTGAATAAGGTTCCTCTCATTCTTGCTACGTAACCCATGAAGAACTGACCACTTAAATATGAGAACTCTACACAAACAGCTCAATGTCCAGAGTAAGAGTGATCCAAGAAATCAGTGGTTGGTTAGTCACCTCGATGTTCTACAGGCCCATCTCAGAAAAGCTATAACTCACCCAGTTTGGGGGTCATGTTGCCAACGACAATGAATTCAGGGATTTCTAACCCAGGGGTGTATCCAGCGGCCCAGGCAATCGTGAGGGGACCGTAGGTGCCTCTCCTGGAAACCACGACTCGGCTTGTTCCAGCAGTGATGTTCGTGAGTGGGAAAGCAGTAGACACAAATCCAACCTGAGGAAAAACACGCTTAGGAATGCTTAACCTGTCTCTGAAGGCTCTTGTCTCGACAGTGAGTGAAAAATCAACTTTTCCTTTGCTTGCATCATAAAATTCTTTGCTTTAAAATGCATTCTATTAGAGAACAGTGTTTGAGAAACATCATTTGAGATATAAAAATGTATTAAAAATGTATTTTATTTTATAATTCAGGTGAGAGTTTCTTGTTTTATTTTTATTCTTTCAATCCAAAGTCCTTTTGGAAACTTAATATCAAAAAAAAAAAAAAAGACAAATGGAGTCATAGTTAAATGAAAGCAAAAGACTGAAAATGGTATTTTAATGAGTGGTTCATGGGTCTCTATAGGACCCGATTGGTCTAGAACTAAAATTTTACTTCTTTCTAATATATAAATTAATGTCTTCCTTCATAAAATGGGCACCATGAACTTATCTTTCTACAAAGGTCGTTAGCTCTGAAATCAATTTGTTCCTTTTTCTGAGAATCAAAAAGCTTAAGCTTTTTAAAATGAAATTATTTTTTCTTTCAAAGACTTATTTATTTATGCATACAGAACTGGGATACAGGCCAGAGGTGCAGGGGCAGTGAGAGGATTCACCAGAGATAGAGTGGGAGCAGGACAGGCAGATCGACGAAGTACACTGCTGAAGGGAGCAGAGGGTGGGTCAGGAGAAGTCTACCATGCTTGAATAATCTTTTTCATCCACATCAAGTAGGATTGTAGTTTGTGGGAAACCTTCCCAGAGTATCCTGAGATTTACAGACTATAGAAAAGAAAGTTAGAGTCTGTAATAATGAACCAAATTCCTAGCTTCACATGGACAACTCAGGATAACTTAGTTTACCTCACTAGGTCCTGCTATTTGTAAAACTGGATCCCATATGATCAAGGGTTATGCCTTAAGACTCATTCTCCTCCTTACAGACTGAAATGGAGAAGAGTAAAATAGCATCAGAGTGTTCCTTGTGGTAACTCCTGGAATCACAAAAGCAGGACAAAAATCACTTCATTTGGACAACAACCTAGATTCCCTGTTACAGTGAGGCTTCTGCTTAGCCATTACCAAGAGCTTTGGTAAATCTGAGATCATGTTTGCTACAATATTAGAGGCTATTTCCAAGTGTCTTAGCCACCAACTATCTCTCCCCATCTCCAACCTGTCTCCCTCACATACACACACACCCCAGTCTTGCCTTCTGGTGAGATACATTGTCAGGACAGTGTGCATGGACAAGAGATGGGAAATATTTTACTACTACAAAACAATGATCTGGATTTAAAGGAATCTTCTTTTATAAGAACCTGTGAGCAAAAATAAGACAACAAAACTTCAAAGGACTACTCCTCTGTGGAACAGTGGTAGATTCCATGTGAGAGGACAGAGCAAATGCATTCCCTATGAAGAGCTGCCCCAGAGGCAGTCATTTCATGAAGAACATATCCTTGATGGCTGGACCCATTACACAAGCTGTTGCCAGACCTGTCCAAATTCCTGCCTATACAGATTCTGCACAGCATCTTGGGCCAAGCTGCCTTAGTCAAGCTAAAAGAACTACCAATGAAAGGATCAGGATGCAATGATAATTCAATAGTTTAAAAACTACAAAAAGGGGGCACTTTTGGTGGTGCAGCAGGTTAAAGCACAGCACTAAGAAACTAAAGCCCTTTCGCATGAGTTTGATCCCCAGCCCCAGAGGTGACCCACATGGTGTGGCAGACCTCTACTGTCTCACCCTCTGCTCCCCTCAGCAGTGTACTTCGCCAATCTGCCTGTTCTGTTCTCCACTCTGTCTCTGGTGAATCCTCTCACCGCCCCTGTACCTCTGGCCTGTACCCCAGTTCTGTATGCATAAAAAAATCTTTTAAAAAAAGAAGACACAAGCTTTCCAAAATTCCAAAAGTGAAACTTATCTAAATAGTGTCAAAAACTGAAACTGTTTTCATAAAATGTATCTGTGTTATCAACTTTGATATTTAGAAACCTTTAGGTTTAGTAGAGGACTAAGAACTGCTAAGAATCTTAGTCCTTTCTGTAAAAGCTGCCCTCTAGTGGTTCCCAGTGATAGCACATGTGAGTTATTACCTGAGAATTGGCAGCTTTCTCTGGGACAGGCAAGAGAGCAGATTTTGCACCCTGGAGAATACTTGGCATGCCATAGAAATGTCCACCAACAAGCATCACAGTCACCAGTTGCAAGGTGAAATTAGAGCCCAGTGACAGGAAGACCTATTAAACAAACAGCATAAAAAAGTATTAGTAGTAAAAAACAATTTTCCGAGAAAAAGAATGACATTGACATGACTGATGTTAGCACATTCAGGTTCCTTTCTATCAGTTTCCCTAACAGATGAAAGTGTTGATGAAACAAGCCAACAATATAAAAGCTGCAGAGTCTACATACTCAAAATTTACCAAGTTTCTTTGTCCAAATAGTCTCAAGAATGAGGTGTTAAAGGTCACATTTGTGATGGAATCATATGTCACGGAATACAAAGAGCCACCTGGGCAGAGTGTCACCTAGAACTGGCAACTTCATCTTCCTTATTGAGTAATAAGCAAAACGTTAATGATATTTTCTCGAATGATTTAAGATCACTGATTATTTGAATATTTTGGAAAAATAAAAATTACTAAGAGCATGTATCAGATTTTTTACAGATCTGCTAGTTTTCAAATCCCACTGAATAGAGGAAATTAATTTAAAAATGGATGGTACTCAAAGTTTTGTAGTTTTGAAACTTGTATTTTCCCACGGAAACATTGTTATTGAGCATAGAAAAGCCTCAAGTTATTCCATAACATGGAATATAACTAAAAATCTGTACATCTTTATTGAATGGAAAAAACTATTGATGTGGATTCTATTTTTTTAATAAAATGTACTTAATATATATCACACACCCTCACACAAAATATGACCACAGAGGCTTCAAATGTGCAACATGAGGATAACAGATGTTTCATTCATCCAATCAATCTTCATTTTTTCAAAATGACATTCATATGGATATGAATCACAGTTCAAGCATGAAGGAAACAAATCAGAGTGCCTGTGTTTCCATTAAAGAATTTTTATTTGTATGAACAGTTTAGTTCTCGATTTAGCTTAGTGCTTTAAAGACTACATATAGACTTTATATATTGGGGTTTGAAAAAAGTTTCTTCTATTAATAAAATATAATCATGACCACTTCTTTCTAGTTTAGCCTGTGGAGTTAGCCAAAAACCAAAGTATACATCTCCTGGCAGCTAGATGAAAAACAACAGGCAAAACATCCTGAATTCTAGAGTTGACTGTTGCTGGTGAATTCCTTCAGCTTAGTCCTTTTTCTCAGCCAAAGCCTGAAGGAAAACTCACAACACCTAATTCTTGGTGGAAAATTACCAAGTGGCCACTTGCAGGCTGTCAATAAGGAGAGGGTTGTCATCTTTGCTTTGTCTGGGTCAGGGGTGCCTGTAGTAACATCTGTAGCTAACATCAGGTGGAGGGAGGAGAGATGGCACCCAAGGTCTGAAAAGAGACTTGCACTGAGCTAACCTCACACACAGGGTTCTGGATGGTGGTGGTAGAAGACAGACTGGTCACTCAGTTCAAGAGTTCAGCTGAGGAGTAGAAGTGTAAACAGCCCCCAAAAGATACCTCTGTGGGTTCAAGGAAGGGATGAAGAACTATCTTTAACATGAACTGCCCCTACCTCCCCCGCCCCCCCCAAAAAAAAACAACAACAAAACATAGTATCCTGAATCAGGATCAATGGAACCTGGATCCTGGATTTTGTCAGATCAGTAATGGAAAAGGGCACGGCAAAGAAGATGCCCAGCAAATGGCAAGTGGGTAAGCAGCACTCAGAGCCTCTGGTGACAGTTACAGCTGAAGTGACAGGGTCACTTGCAGGGGTTGGCCTCTTCCCTTTTATACTCGCCCAGGAAGCACAGATGCTCCCCTTACAGCTGCAATCTCCCAGAGGGGTGGGACTGAGTGCCAATCCTCAGGAAGGCAAAGACTCCCCTTCAATCAAGATGAATTCCAGGCCCTCATCCATGAAAGTGGAGGTTAGAAATTGATGAAACAGGGCTATGGAGTGGCCTATGATACAATTACAAGGATGAGGGACAACTAGGAAATCCATGTCTCACTAAGTAACCTGTATTCGCCCCCTAAATTAACCTACAAAAATAAAGACCCAGGTGCACAAAAGATCAGAAGTTGTATAATATGCAGAAATAAGTATAATATGCTGAATGACAGTCTACTTTCTATTAAACGTAAACTTTACATGAGACTAAGATCATCACATAAACTGCTTCAGGTTTTCCCATTTCTTCCCACAACTCTGACGATATGGTAGGCAGACTCTGAACTTGTCACTTTCAGGTAGCTAAAGGCCCACCTGTATCCACAAAACATCCATTTCACATTCAGGTAAAGTTTTCTCTTTTATCCCAGTTTCTGCTCATTCCGCCGCTCAGAATCTAAACCATGGTAGGGGCCATCCAGCTCCTATGGAGCTTTGCATCCATCCTCCAGCTCTTTTAGGGGTGAAGGTCTAGAAGGGGAGTTGTTTCAAGACTGAATGACAAAAATCTTGCCTAACTGCCCTGGGCCCTTTCTTGGCTAACAATGCTGACCACCTCTATGGAGGCAGGCACTCGAAGGCTTGGCCTTTTAGGAAATCAATGTGGGTGTTCCTCAAAATGTTTAGTGCTCTGTTTATTCCATTCTTACACAGAGAAGACATATTCTGATGACCTTTTTGATTCTCTTCTAGCTTCTTAATCCATCCTCACAATCCATGACTTCAATCTTGCCCCCACTGGGATGCAGCTTTTCCCAAACATGAACTAACTACACCTCAGTGCCATTATGCAGCCAGGAAATGAAATAAATGCACTTTTCTATTCCGCATAGAGAATACTATTTATGCACCATCCATAGGAGGCTAAGAAAAACAGCCCCTGAAATCACTTTCTGTGGTTTAGAGTAAGCTCATTGCTGGTGTACCACACATTCTTGCCACTCTCATCCTAACTGTTGCCCAAGCAGTTTGCTGCCTATCTCCTTACGAATGTAACAGAGTCAGTCAATGCCCAGAAAGAAGCAGGTGCCAGTTCCTAGTCCCTCAAATTCCAGAGAACATATAATCAGTCTCTCACTGCCCTTTTTGGAATCTTAACAAATTACTCCTTTCAAAACACACTTTGGGTGTGTGGGGGGAGGGAGGAGTGTTCAAGTGTATATGTGCAGCACTTGGACAATCCTCAGAAGTTATTAAGTGCTCAATAAGTGTTCATGCAAAAATACCTCATCTCCAAACAGGAATAGCCTAATTCACTTAGATTCTGTAAATGTATACTTAAGTAATTAATTTGTATTTCTATGGCATCTTTCATGGCTATACCTCAATATGCATACACACACACACATGCATAGACACATGCACGCACACATGCACAATATTAAGCATATCATGAGATAAGCAAGAACTCCAGGAAGGAGTTTGAATGGAATGATCAAGAAAATAAAGAAATACTACAAACCTGACTTTTGATGGACACAATGTCCACTTTATATCTGGTACCATCTTTGACCACCAGCTGTCCCTCTGTACTTTCAGTAACAACTGGCTGCTTTTCTTGATCAGAAGATATTCGAAATCCAACAGCTACATCTCCAAATGTTCCAGCAAGGCGGGTTACATTAATCTGGATGGATCTACTAAGGTTCTGCCCAATGAGTATTGATTGGTGATCTGAATACAGAGCAAACACTCCATGTGGGTCATCATTCGCAAAAACAGAGAATCGAATGATGCATTTTTCTGGATCCAGTTCTGCCCCTCCCTCTACAGAAACAAGCTGGAGTACATATTCTTCCTCTATCTCAGGGACATCATCTGGTAGCAAGTGAACATCAAAGCTTGCCTCACTCTCTCCATCAGCAATGGTGAAAAATCCTTTTGTAGAAAGAAAATCTCCAGTAATATCAAACTCACTTGTTAATTCCCAGTAAACCTAAAACCAAAGAACAAAATCCAATTAAGTTATGTACAATACAGTACACTGACTCAAAATCCTTCACAAATTGGGTTTCCTTTACATACACAACTTTTTTAAATTGTGCCATCACTTTATTCAAAGCCAAGCTCTACAAACAATTAACTAGAAAGTAACTCTTAGAGGTAGTCGTATGCAGTTTGAAAGGTAAAATTACTAATCTTGTGTCACTTGCCTCTAAAATATAGCATCATTTAAAGAGTATCAAGTAGCCATTAAAATGCCAGTTTCACATATACATTCCACAGTAAAACAGACACTATCTGGAGGAAATGATGAGCAGATAACCTGGTGAGTTGCAATGGAATTTGTATTTGTTTTAAATAAGGAGCTAAAGGATTTATAAATTATTTTAAGAATTTTCTATTTTTCCCCCAGAATACACTAAAAATTTTTTCAAGAATTTTGACCTTCAAACCAGAAAGTTTCACCCGAAGAAGAATGATTTAATCTCCTATACAGGAAAAGTAAATAAATGTTATAGAATGCCCCGCAGTATGTTCTGCTAGCAAACATGTAACA